TGTTGATCTATAACAGTAGAAAGTTTTTAATTGTCCATTCGATATCCGTGAAATCGTTTTGTTACGTATGCACAATGCACATAATTTATTATTCGATTGCTGACATTTAATTGGCAATCGGCTCTGTAATTACCATGTAATAATTGCATTGTGAATCACGGAAAAGAAAGAGCTCTGATGAGAATGAACGCTAATTAATATGTGCTGCCATATTTTCATCCTTGTCACATTTACGATAAATACTATTTTTCGAACTCCATTATAACTCGGCTAAGTAGACCACTGAGCAATTGAATAGGTGACTACTTTGTAGGCGATTCGAGCTTCTGCAAATATCAGAAAATATTTTAGCTCAAGGATAAAGTCTGTATAAGTAAATGTGAATAGCGCCTGTGAGTAGTCCATAACTTTTACGTGTCTGTATTTACGTGCAATGTTAATATTTCACGCGGCTCAACACTTCAAGATTGATTTACATCAATTTTAAGCAGTATTTAAGCAACTATATTTGACTTTCTTAACAATGTGAACATTGAAAATCCACTTAGTAAAATACATCTTTTAACAAGACTGTGTATCTAACATAACTACATATCAATAGAGGAATTTAATATCCTGCTTAATTAAAAAACTCTCTCAAATTTACGATAGGTAGCTCAATGAAAATATATGTGTAATATCATAAATATCATAAATAATAGGTGTAATATCATAAATAAAAAATGCCAATGCTCTATTGATTTAAAAAAAAATAATGTTTAAATTTTAATAATTATAACAGAATGTAATATAAAATATTTTGTTTTATTTCATTTGGATTACATATTAAAATGCTTTGAAGTTAAATTGCAACTTTTTTTTTATTGTTAGCGTTGAGAAAACAAACAGAATTCATGAAGCTGTCATCAAGTTAATATCTGTTAACATCTTTCAAACGTTTTTAAAAGTATTAAAAACATTTCATATTTTTTATTGTGTAATTGTATATTTATACTTATCTCAAAACAAGCTTTTCTACGTGTAGTTGAAATTAAATATCTCATTTCTCGTTGATAATTTTCCGTTGTTAATTACGAATTACTTACAAAATCATATATGAGACGATCGGAAATAGTCTTAGTGATAAAGTTCAGAGAATTTAATAACGTTTATTAGAAACGATGTATTATTATTGTTGACATCGTGTTAGAGACAACATTCTGTTATATTTTTCTTATAAATATATTTTTTCAATAAATTCACGGTTTCGTATTTTTAAACTATATTTTAGTCAAAACATTATTAACTAAGCATGAAAAAAATTGGGGAAAGTCAAGTCTTTTTTTTCTTAACTGTAAATAATTCCTAGTTGAATGATTGGTTCAAAATAGAGCCAACAGTCCAATTATATTATAACGATGATGTACATTATAAATTGGGTTCGTGAGCATTATGTATTATTTATGTCACAATCCTTTAACTTTTTTTTAATAAAAAGTAGTATGAGCTTAATTTTTAGAAATAATATGTTTATTTGATTTCCAAATTTATTCAGAACATTATTATAATTAGTGGTATAATAATTGAGAAAAAAAGCACATCATTTCTTAGGAAAAATATAAGATAGATCAGAAAGCACTAAGTTGCTAATTGCACGATATAAAGTTGTCATTCAAGTGGATTAATTACAATTGATTATAAGATTTCATTTTAAACAAACTCCTTTTCAGTATACCGTACTCATATCGTTCTTATATTTTCAATAGATATTTAAGTAATATACACTAAAAATTAGAAATGGAATAAAATAAATTTTGTTTCCAAAATAACGAACCGTTTGCCAATACACATGTGAGATCTTATCTCGACTATGAAAGATTACATTCAAGTACAGCGTTTTTTGCTTTATAATTATATTTTGAAGACGTTTATGAATATCAGAATTTTTAGGAAGTTTATAAACTCAAATACATATTTATCTCAAAGCAGTATGAAAAGAATGATAATGAAAACTCACCAGCGGTCATTGTATATAGTTTATGCTATTATTAATGACATGTATAATTATTAAGAGATATATGCATTTGATTTTGATTAAAAATAATGATAAGTCAGAAAACGCTTTTCGACAATAACGATTGATTATATGTATTAAATTTCTATTAAGTAGATTTATTATAATGTATCCTGCTTCAAAAAACTACCTGAATCAATAGTCAATTAGTTTTCTGATATGCACTTTTTTTGGCGATGATAGCATTTATGCTTTAATTTTTGAAGGGAGTATAATTTTTCGTGTAATAATAAAACAGTATATGAGCGCGGAAATCATTATTGAAGTAACTGTTAAGAAATCCATTATGATAATTTTCCCCAAATTACTGTCATTGTTACTAAAATGGTAGGTATGTGTCGTTTCTTAATAAGACAATTTTTTAACGTATGCAAAGAATATGATAAATGTGAAAGTTACATTATCCGCTCTATGAAAGTTTTCAAATTACATTAAAAATTATTTTATAAGAAATTTTAACGATTTAGTAGCAATAGAAGCTTTGACTTACTCTGTACACTTATTAACCATATTTCTTTCTGTGAACATTTTATCAAGCATTATTATATGAATGTAACGTACATTTAATAAAATTCGTTGAAATTATGTAAATTGTACTTATTATTTAATTGACCCGTCGATATAGTAAAATAATAGGTGTGACTATTGAACTCTGAGAGTATCAAATTAAAAGGCAAATACGAGGTCACATTACATTTACAAAATACGAAATAACATTACAAATAAATTTTTGAATGAAATGTTTAAGTAATATCCAGTTAAGTAGTGGAACTTTTTTGTCTGTATTCAAGCAACATCGGTAGAGTAATTAATAGAATGCATAATAATCTGATATAATGATAAAGTGAAAATCGCCGTCTACACGATTTGTCAAATCATTACGTAAAGTTACAACGGGCAATGAACTGTTGACTACAAGCTCTATACTTTTCTATCGAGCTTATACCAATGTAATTCGCCGACAAATTTTAATCAACAAGTTCTATTCAGTACGACGACGGCAAAGTAATCTGAAAATCGAAGATCTCGAAAGTTCTTGCTTGATGTAAAATTTCAATGGCACAAACAAAAACAGAAAAACTTGTGCTAATGAGCATCGAATCCGTAATACTTCAACCAAAAAACTTTCTTGCCTCGTGTCGACGGCCAGACGACGCGATTCGGTGCGCTCCTTTCACTTCGACCCACTAATTTCGGTAGGCATTGAAAAGGCCAGTTACACGGGCGCCCGGGCAAGAAACATACATATATATATGAAAAATTGATGAGGAGTTGATGTTGTATTAGGGTCTGTAAAAAAAGACGAGGAAAAAGTGGAGCTTCAGTGCTAACGAGGATATGCGAGAAAGTAAAATATGTGAAAATAATATAGTTATAAGCGGATACATCGCGATGTACGAGAGGTTGCAAGGCCAAAGAGAAGGCTTCGATACAAGGCGACACGAGGTAGAGAAAGAGGTTGAATTTGAGGTCAACGGGTCAGGCGGGTAGATTTTTAGAATCCTTTTGCATGCTTTCAACTGTTTTCTTTGTTTTTTGCAACGTATTGTGCAATGCACTTCTTTTTCCAACGTCTTACGGCCCTTTCCTTCTTTCCTTTTCCCCCTTTTCTCCTGCGTAGCTCATGTGTTCGTATGCAAATTACATTTCTTTGCACCGGCATGCGATTAAGCTGACGCCTTACAAAACACTGTAATTTATCGTCGCGTGCTCGACGACATAACTCTGCTTAAGATTTATTCCGACCGCGTTAACAAATGCACTTTTGAATTCATTTATATTCTAGTTTTCGGATAATTGTCGTAATTTCGCTTTCGAATTTACATTCACAAGGTGGCGTGCTGGGCAAAAGTCGTATTTTTATGACAAGCACTGCGATAGCCGAGTAAACAAGCCGAGCACCTGGCTCGGAGTTTTATATAATTATTGTTGAGATTGTCGGAGTACGCTTCGAAAAAATATTCTCGTCGGTGAAAAGCCGAAGCAGGAGGCACGAGCTTTTGTCCGAATTCGCAGGAAACTGCACGCGCGAGGCATGAAAAGATATTCATAAAGTAAAATAGAAGCGCGACTATGCAACGCGCTCACGAGACTATGGAAAGAGTTCTTTGAACTAAAAGTTGTGCGCGCTCTACGAGGCCTGAGAATGCTTTGGAATACATGCGCGCGCGAGCTGCGCGTGTCCTTGTGGAAAAAAGCCACTCTATCATATTCTCTTTTAAAATTCCATTTTCAACTTAGGCCAACTTTAAACGACTTTATTGCTGCACTGGAGACTCCACTGTCTTAACCTTCTTTTTATTTTTCTAAATACAGCCACTTTGGCATTTATGATGGTACATTTTATCGTCGTTGAAGACATTAACAGTTCATGTCAGAGTAATCTTTTGGGAATATTTCCGGGATAAAAAGTCGACAATTATAATTTCTCGTACTTCAGAGACGCTACATGCATAAGGTGAAACGAAGGTGAAACGAGCTTATTAGACGCGATTGATATTCAAATCACGAACTCAACCAGATGTTGAAGTCATTGTCAGCAGTTCATAACGCTTCAAAATCATTTGCTCAAAAATCACGTACACGCGATGATTTCCGATCGATCATTACAGAATTGTCAGCGCGACAGCGATCGCGCGACAAATCGTAGAAAACAAAGCAGGTGGTGCAGCATCCAGAAGTTCATCAGTGCTAAGCCTTCTGCCAGTCGTAGACCGCGGCATCGGGGGTCTTGGCGCTTCTCTCTTTCTGTCTCCCTCCCTCGCTCTCTATTATCCCTCGTTCGGATGTGCGCGTGTATATACGTGGGACATTCAACAGGTACACGGGTCTGTCTCACTTGCGCAGTACTTCTGTCTCTGTTGGTGCGCGCCGGCGGTCCGGGGAGCTGCGCGTAATACTCTCTCTCTCTCTCAGTCGGTGTGCCTCGCGGGAGGGAGAGGTGTTTCTAGCGGCTGCTCAGTCGAGCGCCGACCGCTAACCGCCTCGCGTCGGTACCTTGCTCTCTCGCTCTCTGTCTCTTTCCCTCTCTCTCTCTATCTCTCTCTCCGCTCTCTTTCTCTCTCCCGTTCGGTCTGTCGCTGTATTCTCGGTTCGGTTCGCGCCGCCAACGACAACGCCCCGCGAGTGCTGTTTTGTTGTTTTCTTGTTTGTGCCCCGACAGGTCTTGCCCGGCGTACATCCTGCACCACAGCTGCTGATGCAACGAGGTAGTTTGTCTCAATGATTTTATCACCTCTCGTCGACTGCATTCAACCCTCTGCCTGCCTGCCTCTCCGCGCGTATGTGTGTGTGTGTGTTGCAGTACGCCACCAGCTTGTCATTGCATTATTCACGCGCTCCGGCAGTTATCCCGGAGAGGAGTCGCCGTCGAATGTTAAATCTCGTTCGCGGGCGAGCTCGAGCCCATCGCTTTTGAGAAGGCCGAGCGGGTTTCGCGCGGCGAGTCGGTTGTGTACACACAAAAGGCTCTTGACACTGACGAAGAGACTGAGCACGTGGGTCTGTTATGTGGGCTGCGGCACCACAGGCTGCCCGAAGGCTTTCTCTCTCCTGCGATCTCGCCGGCGCGTTAGATTATTCGCCGAGTCAGCTTCACCTACTTGCGTCTGTCCTTTATTTGATATACGCTGCAGCTAGCGCGCCCGCGATCGTTATCGGTGCAGCGAACCGGTATTAACGTACACTCTCTCGTAAAGTCTCAGCTGCTGCGGCGCTGCACACCACCGACGCTCTACGCGTGTGCTCGCGGTTTATTTCGAGCTTATCAGCGTTTTCTTAATTTCCGTTAACCTCGGCGCGGGATCTCGACTTTCGTGTAGCATGCCGCACAACGCTTTCTGTCGCGCGCCCGCGCGCTTATTTCGCTTTCTAGTATTTTTCACGCTTCTTTGTTGCCCCTACTCTGTTTCCTTCCATTTGCGTTGTCGCCTTGCCGTGGGAATCTCATTGACGTGCGTTCTACACTGATAATAGCGATTGTCAGCAAAACTTTCGCTCCGAGAGCAAGCGCGTCGAATGATCTTGCAGGCGCATTATGAGCAACCTTTGTGGCACGCAGCAGCCCGTTCCAATGAATATTCAATCCGCGCATCGAAAGACATACATCAATCCGATCGCGCGTGCAGATCTCCCATGGCGTTTTTGCGAGCTTTCCTCGCCAAGACGCAATCGATCCTGGCATCGATCGTAGCACTCGCGACGTTGCATGTTTCACGCGTGACGTCGTGCAATATACGTAAATACACCGATGATAAATAAATGTACTTCTTTTGTGTGGACGCAAAACCAAACGAACGCGCGCGTGCAGAGCTGAGCTCGCGGCCGACAGATCAGAAGCAGAAGCATCAGCAACGGATGCCGCGTCGACGACTTTGCTGGGGGCTCGCCTGACTGCCGCTCGCAAAGCTAGCCTTGGCGATTCGATATAAGGCCATCGAGCAGCAGCAGCAGCAGCAGCAGCAGCAGCAGCAGCAGGCTTTCAGCGGCGACACGCTGCAGACCCACGTAAATGGCCGGCTGCACCAGCAGCACCAATACAGCAACCAGCACGATCAGCGTCAACGCTTGGACACCATGAGGGACGGTGTCTTCGACGTCAACGTGAGTTCAGCATGCAACACAGCCGATTTGTTCTCGTCGAGCACGGATCACGCATTGTCTGTACTTTGTGTTTGCTTTGCAATTGTAATTGGGCTCTCGACGTACCCGTGGCCTAAGCATCACTTTTGCACGAGTGCTTCTGTTTCGCCGATAGATCTGATTATGGCAAACTCGCTCGCTCGCGAGACGTCAGTTCAATTAACCTCGGCGCGCGATAAACGATCAACCGTGCGACACTGCGGAATGGCGACGTCCAAGGTCACTGCGAGGCGCACATCCGAACGCGTCGATGACGTTGGGCGCGCGCGGCCTAATGATCTCGCGCGCGCCACTATCTCGCCAAACAAAAGAATAACGACCGAGAGGGAGAGAGTGAGAACTGAGACACGCACGTTTTCGTTGTACAATTGCGCATATATGCCTTAAAAGTGCGCGCGAGATATGTGAGACGAATTTCACGTGCCGTGCATGCGCGCACGGCGGTTTTACTTTTTCTCTCTCGTTGCCGGCTTCTTATCTTATATACCTACTCGCCAGAGAGTGGAAATTACGCGAACAAATTCCTCGAGCGCGCGCGCCACGTATGTATCCTTTTATTGCGAAGCCGTATATAAGGCGACTTTCATACACGCACACACATGTCTAAATGAAATACAAAAGGGAGGAGAACGAGATCCCGGACCTTTCTCTCTGCCCCTTCCCCCGCGAAGGCCAACAAAAACTCACTCGCCTCATTATTTTCACGCGCGGACTCTCGACCTTACTCAAGGCTGTTCTTTTCCGTTCTTGACAAAAGTTGACACTTTGATGGGAGACCCGAATGTAATTTAATGACAGGCTAGCGTAGGGCGGCAGGGAGAAAAAACAGGCTTGTAGCGATCGAGATTTGATTTGCGTGTTGATTTAGGGTGACACGCGGGATTGCCACGGAGAGAAGATATACATTTTCGTTCTGCGTCGAGGGCTCTATATATTGATTAGTATTCCGCTATACTGTGTTTGCTTTCGTATCACATCCGCATGCAAAAAATATAGATTGCTTACTTTCACATCTATGAATATTTTCTCCCTGTTAAATGACAAATAATTTTCTATGTAGAGCAGAATTTGGCTAGTGACTGTCTCTCGGATAGCACATAGTATTTGTCGATTTTGCGGAATTGGATCTGCGCAAACCTTACGTTACGCTTGAAGGACAACGATCGCACTTTTCAGGCAATGTTCCTCCCGAATACGGCGCGCTTAGCCACTTTCCGGGAGCTCGGTTTATTTTCTCAGTCGGTGTGCGCCGAAGTATCTAGCGCAACGACATCAGTCCAAACTTCGAAAATAGAAAAAGCGCCTTGGTACGCAATAAACGACGAATAACAAACAATAAGTCGACATCCGGTAGTCGCTCGCCCGCGCGAGGCGCGCAATATACTCATTACGAGTTAGACACGTAACCCAATGGAAAATTCAGCGTGCGACTTTTTCTCTTTACTGTTTTTAGAAAAAGTCGCTCGTCGTGAAACGTTTGAAAGACCCATTAGAGCTACGCCAGATAATGTCCTCGCATGTTCGCTATTAATACGCACGCGCGCGCGCGCATTTATAACATAAACGCGCCAGCGCGAAAGTAACAGGTCTGGCAAGCGTTACGAGTGGCCCAGCCGAAGACCATCTCTTACAAGCGCAGGGCGCTTGTATGCGATAATCGAGCTATCGGGTGAGCGTGCTGCTGCAGGCTTTGCGCGAGATACGACAATTGGACTCTTACATCCGGGGACATATTTGCATACATCGATACAAGCACGCACACGGCCGGGCGCTAATACATTTGCATGCGGATACACCGAGGGTTGCCTCCGCTGCGATGTCTACAGTCGTGTCCGCGAGGCTTGGCACTCGCGCAGTGCAGCAGAGAGATGTTGTAGGGCCCCAAGTACCACCCCCTTACCGCTCAATGGATGAATATATATATATATGAGTGTGTTGTATGTATGTGTACATATATATGTATAGAAGGACCCAACTGCATGTAGATGCGGCTCTGCATAGAATCAAGTGGGATTACGTCGTTAGGCATATTGCGCCGCTGGGACGCGGATAGTTTTGCTCTATATACACGCACGCGCGTATCGCCGAGAGCAATCCCGTGCGTGTATTAAATCAACTTATTTGCTTAGCCATATATACAGTCGTAAATCTCATAAAGATCTGCTGCTCGACATCTCCGCCATCTATAATTGCCCTTTCGTTTTCCATTTTTGCGATTCGGTCACGCGACCATTGAATTTCCCGATACGCAGGTATGGAACGTCCTGTAGCTGCTCTTTTTTGTGCCATTGAAATGCGCGAATGATGGCGCCGCTGTATGTAATAGATGTTGCGACTTTACCATTGGACGTTCCTATTGCTCAAATGCTTCGGTAGCATGCGAATTCTGAAAAAATAATGTTAGTCAATCGATCTCTGCTGCATTCAAACTCCGATTTTATCAATAAAATAGCGAATGCACGATTAGTTTTCAACGTTTGCGTCTCTCTCTCTCTCTCTCTCTCTCTCTCTCTCTCTCTTTCTCTCTTTACCAATCAGCACGTATGCGAGCACACATTTTGCATTCGTTTGCTGGAAAATGAATGCTCTGATTTTGCCGACGAGAGGCCATTGGCAATTGAGTAATTTATCAAGGTGTCGTGCATACCTATATGAAGTATGACGTGGCATGTGCAATTGACGAACGTGCGCAGAAACTTTTGTTTGACCTATTTACAGAATCGTTAGGTCGATGCAGTACCTGAACAGTGAAATGAAATGTTGAAATACAAATTGGGTGACAAGCTGCTCTCTTTCGCTGCCGTTCGGCAGTCCATACTTTGGCCATGATATAAACATCCGGAATTTCGCAAGCATTGCTCACGCAATCATGTAAAAAAGGGATAAATTAGAGAAAAATAAGCGTAGCGATAAAGCACGTATTGGTTTGAATAGCGCAGCTCGTGAAAGTATCAATGGATAAATTGGAATGTCGAAAAACGTGCCTGTTCAGCGAGCACATTTGGAAATTCTGAACTCGCTTTCGATGTGTACGTAGGTGCGCAGTGAGGCGTCACGGGTTAATGGGCATTTAAAGAATCGGCCCGAAGTGCCAACCATAGTTCTGATTGACTTATTACGGCCGCAATCACAAAGCCCGCACTGACTCACTCTCATTTCATCCTTTTGTTCTAAAGCAATTTTGGGCCTACTTCCATCTTCGTCTTTCGACGCGAGCGCACAGATATCAAATTACTTTCGCTCTTGTGCGTTCATCTTCGAGGCTTGTGCTGCCGTGGCTGCTGCAATAAGACGAGAGAGACGAAGGAGTAGAAGCCCGAGTGCATTTGGGTGATTGCTGGACGTCTCTAGCGACGCGCTATATAGCTATTTGATATAGCTTCTATAAGCCAGTCAAACTGATCTCCCCCATGCCGATCCTCTCTATAAATGAGATTTTGAATTATGGACCGGCGTCTTTATGATGAAGCTATAGGGAATCTTTCGTTGGCTGCGTGCGCAATTAGCTTGTTTCGACCTCAATTTTTCAAAAGTTTTGCTTAACTTTGTGTTGCTTGCATTATTATAATGATTGTCTAATAATATCAACAATTCTTTGACTATAGATTATATAGTATTTTAGTTAAACAATTATTTATTATCTATCAGTTATTCATAATAATGCAAACGAGTGTTGGTGAAGTTCACGCTACAGCAACATATTCCGCTACACAAGTTGCACTGCTGCTAGTAGTTCCAAAATTGCAAATGAAATTGACTGTAGTAGCGCTAATTTTGAAAAGAACAGTAGTTGCACTACCTTCAAATAACACGAAATGAGCATTTTCAAACTACGCCTTTTTACATTTACATTCGAATCTGTAGCAACAATCTGCCAATCTGCACTCCACGAGAACGATGCTCGCGCACTCAAAAAAAGAAGTTGCCAGCAATAAAGGCACGTTCCTTTTTATACGCGTGTAGTGCAACTATTTGATGCAAGTAATATGACTACCCTTTAAAAATCATTTGGCACGCAACGCAAGCATTGGCGCTACAAGTAGCGCAACTACAAATTTTTTTCCAAAGTAACGATGCTGCTGTGCTGCAACTATAACATTGCGCGTGAAGTAACAGCAATGTAGCTGTACTTCACGCGCTTTCTAAATAAAATTTCTAGTGCAAACAGAGACGCCACCGCCTAACACACTGCTGTAGTTCACATATAGCACATCAAAAGCTTTCGAGCTTTCAACGAATAAATTTCCGTTTTATGATGAAACTCAATACCTAGTAAGTGCACGAGCTTGCATTTCATTAGAACCAATTCCTTGCTGAAATATACCCATTCTTTAATACTTTTCTTATTCTTTTATCCTTTTATATACATTTCAATATAATTACACGAATGAATATTCTACTTCGATCATATTTACAACTGCTTTTATTAAATTAATGTTGGCTTTGCGTAGAATGATAAATTATTTATTATCTCGGGTTATAATTGGGTAACAGAAAGAAATTTTTAATACCATGCAAAGACAATAAAATCATGTATTAAATACACTACGTGAATGATTGTTGAAAACTCTCAGTAATTAAAAGCTTATTCAATTAAAAATAAACATCAACGTTTTCATAGAATTGAATTGTCCGGTAATTTTTTAATGTCAACGAGGTTGAACGGAAAAAAGAGCGAGGAACAACAGATATGATATTCAGGGAATTAATTATTAGTAGTGGTTGCAACGGGACTCGGTCCCTCTTGGCCGCGCCTTCATCAGCGGCGCGGGAGCATGAGTTTACCCACTGCCGCGCGAGCGCGAAATTTCAAGTGGGTTGCCGAATAAGAAAGCGCAAGCCAGCTCGTAAATCCGCAAGATTAGTCGGCTATTCGCGGTCTTGCAGTAGTCCTGCTCGCAAACACACGCGAAAAGGCAGTGCGCTTTAATAGCAAAAGGCCAAGCCATCAAGTCTCGCGC